TTCGAGCGAGATAGTGATTAGGGTGCGGAATAGTTGATTGCACCTTGGTTATGGTCTTTCCAGGCTGTGGTTATTGTGTTATTTGCTTCTCCATGGTTATGGTCATGCACTTGGTGTTCTTGATGTCGAATTTTGTATGGTTATTGATTTTGAGCATTTTGGCTTGAGGTATTTCATAGGACCAGTGTTGGATAAAGTCACGCATTGCAGCGCAGTTATGTTGGAATATGATCCTTTATGTTAGATTTGTGTGTCTTGGTTCTACTATGTACGATGGGTTCATAGCATTGCGGTTGTGGTGGCACTTGTTGAGCTTGCGGGGCGATTCTCCCATTTGATTCATTTGTATTTTTTAGTGCATTTGAATTGTTGCGGATTGGTGCACGGATTGCACAGTTTGTGGCTTATGGTTGTACTGTTGTGGCATGTTCGTAGAGTGGCTATATTGATGAGATGAGGTCATTGGACCTAGAATGGATGCTATCAAATTTGATTACGATATGTTTGGAAGAATAATATCGGAAGTCGGCTAAGAATTTGGGCTTTGGTTCTTGTCGGACGAGCGATAGAGCTCCATGACTTGTTGATCTGATGAGTGGTTATGAGTTTCTGTCTGTTTCTTTCATCATTGGCAGTGTACGAAGGTTTTGAATGAGGTTTTATTTGATATGAGGTTTATTATCGGTATTGGGTTTGTTTTGAGCAGCTGTTGTGATCGGGAATTATTGCTACGAGTATGCGAGTTATGTGGTATATCATGTGCTTGCATTTTGGGTTATGGATATGACTTGATACAGCTTGTTCAGACTTATACATTGTGTAGGTGCGAAATTCGGATCCTGTAAGGAATTTCAGATGTTGGAAATTGGGTTCTAAGGCTTACGGACTAAGTTAAAGTAATGATATTCAGTTATGCTCTGTTGTCAGGCTTACATGGATTAGGGTGATGTGGGATCACCCCTGGGTATGTGCATGGTAAGGTTACATGACGATTTGATGACTCTAGAATGACTCTAGGCATTCGAGGACAAACGTATGTTTAAGTGGGGGAGAATGTAACGACCCGACTGGTCGTTTTGAGCATTTGCATTCTGTTCAGCGGTTTAAAGTCTTGAATAGCTTCGTATGATATATTTTGACTTGTGTGAATCGTCGGTTTTGGTTTTCAGGTTAATCGGGATTTATTTGGGAGAAAGATTCTCAACTAGAAAGCTTTAAGTTGGACGAGTTGACTGAGTTTGACTTTGAGTATTTGACCTCGGATCGGAGTTTTGATGGTTCCATTAGGTCCGGATGGTGATTTTGGACTTGGGCGTATGCCCGGATTTGCATTTGGATGTTCCCAGAAGGTTTCGGCACTTATTGGCGAAAGTTGGAAATTTGAAGGCTTGGAATGATCATAAGTTTGACCGGGAGTTGACTTTGATGCTATCGGGTTCGGATTGTGGTTTCGGGATTTGTAATAGCTTCTTTATGTCATTTGGAACTTGTGTGCAAAATTGGCGTCCATTCCGAGTTGATTTAATAAGGTTCGGCACGAGTTTTGGAAGTTGAAAGATTCAAAGTTCATTAAATTCGATTTGAGAAGCGCTTCGTGGTTTTGAGGTTGTTATACGTGATTTGAGGCCTCGAGTAGGTCTGTGTTATGTTATGGGACTTGTTGGTATGTTCGAACGGGGTCTCGAGGGGCTCGGGTTAGTTTCTGACGAGTTTCGAATCATTTCCATGTTCTTTGGCACTGCTGATTTATGGTGTTTCTAACCTTCTTCGCGATCGCGAAGATTGGGCCGCGATCACGTAGTGTAATGTGGGAGCCGGCCTTTCCTTCATCGCGTTCGCGACTATGTTATCGTGTGCATGTACCATTGTGAGGCTTGGGCACCGTGTTCATGTCCTTAAGCTCGTGTTCGCATTTAGTTGAGATGAGAAGCTGGGGACTAGGGAAAATATCTTCGCATTCGCGAAGTAGCTGATGCGTTCGCGTAAGGTTGGAGTTGATGTGCATCTCATTCGCGAGGCCTATGCCATGAATGCGCAGAGTATTTTTGGAGGCAGTGGAGGTTGTTCTTCGCGATCGCAAAGAATGTCCCGCGATCGCGAAGGGTATGTCTGTTTAGTGAATATAAACAACAACAACAACAACAACAACGACCCAGTGAAATCCCACTAGTGTTTAGTGAATATAAAGTACTCTATTTCGGAGGTTTCAGCCATTTTAGCATATTTCGAGCTATGGAGATCGGATTAAGACGATTTTTTAGGCGATTTACACCATATGGATTTGGGAAAGTATTCTTTACTCGGTTTTGGTTATATTTCATGAATCTATATCTTTGGCATTTGATTAATAATTTCAAGACAAAAATTTGGGGGGGGGGGGGGGGGGTTGCCTAAAATTTATAAAGTGAACGAGTTTTGAGCATCGATTCGGAGTCGAATTTGAGTGAAACTAGTATGGTTGGACTTGTAATTGAATGGGTTGTTGGATTTTGTGAGTTTTTTCGGGTTTCGAGGTGCGAGCCCGGGTTTGAATTGACTTTGGGTTTTTTATTAAAGATTCGACCTTTATCGATTGGGTGTGTTTCCTCTGGCATTATTTGATGTTCTTGAGTTGGTTTTGGCTAGTCTCGAGCCGCTCGGAGGTCGGTACGCACGTGATAGCATTTTTGGAGTATCGTTTGGCTTGCTCAGTATTGGATTCAGCTTGTTCGAGGTTAGTAACTCTTCTAAACTTGGTGCCGAGGGTATGCATCGTTGAGTATACGTGTTATGTGTTCGGCATTGAGGTGGCGCACATGCTAGGTGATGGGCTTGTGGGCGTGCACCGTGTGAATTCTGACTCGGTTAATTCTGTAGTACTATGTAGTTACCTAATCTTGTCTTTATCCATAAAATTTCTACATGATAGAGTAATTGAGCTGTGATCTATGTTAGAAACCATGTTTATGCTATATGCTTATTCTATTGAGACCCGCTGAGGTCATTTCTGTTGTTGAGTTATTTGCTTAAAAATCTGTAGCTACATACTCAGTCATAGTCATGCATTTGCATATCATATCTCAGTCTCTATTATCATTTGTTGTCATAACGTTTTATCATTGTTTGGGTTGATTGGCATGACATTTGTGAGCTTGAGAGAATAGAGAGATTGATGACTGAGTTGGGGCCTGAGAGCCGGATTGTGAGTGATATTGATGGGTTCGGGCTGCACGCCGCAGCAGGTTTACCTGATTCATGATGGGATCAATTGCACACAGCAGCAGGCCATATTGGATTTATATATACTACTATATGGATCGGCTGCACGCCGCAATAGGCCCTATGGGCTTTATATGTATTATTGATGGGATTGGGATGTACGCCGCATTAGACCATGATGGCTTATATTAGAGCTTGGGCAGGATCCACCCCTCAGGAGTCTAACATTCCAGCAGTGAGCGCAGGTTTTATTGATTCATGATGGGATCGGGCTGCGCGCCGCAGTAGGTACCGTACAGTGCTGAGTGACTGAGTGTGCTGAGGGATTGAGCAAAATGAGTGGGAGTGCGAAATAGTGAGATTGAGTACTCTGAGAGTATGAGTACATTAGTTCACCACTGTGATGCATTGAATTCACATATATATTTGACATACATGCATAGAGATACATTTCCTCATGCTACACGGTATTGTGACATTCATGACATCACATGCACATTGACATGTAGGCATAGAGATGTACTTTTCTCATTCCATCTGAGATTGAAATATTTTATCTGTTATTGAATGTTTTAGGAAAAATCACAGTTTTCTGATATACTCACATTTTGGTCATTTTGGTGAAAGATTTGTTTTTTCTAACTTGAAACGCATGCCTATTTTTCCGTAATTGTGAACGAGTTGAGCATCATATCTTTGAGTTGTTTCTTGTACTACTTTTATTATATTGTTATAGTTGTTGTTGGCTATTGGTGTTGGACTCTGACCATTGTCCAAGCTCGTCACTACTTTCAACCTAAGGTTAGATTTGTTACTTATTGAGTACATAGGGTCGGTTGTACTCATACTACACTTCTGCACCTTGCGTGCAGATTTCGGATGCTGAAATTGCTGTGTATGGCGGGAGCTGGCACTGAAGACATACCTGCATTCTGGTTATAGCTGCCTCTTGTTCTTGGTAGCTTTAGAATTATTAATTTGTTTATGTGTATTTCAAACAGATGATATATTTATTTCATACCAGCTTTGTAAACTCTTAAATTTTAGAAGCTCGTGATTTGTACTACCAGTCCTTAGGATTTTGTATAAAAGCTCAGTTATTTCATTCATTTTCTCAGTTAAATCTCATTTGAATAGGATTGTTGCTATTTGGCTTACCTAGCGGGTTAGGTTAGGTTCCATCACGACTAGTTGGATTTTGGGTCGTGACAATTAGCCCAATATTGACAATAAAAAATTCAGTTTCCACCTGAGTAAGATCTGTGAGCTTTATCCAAGTGTCTGTATATCAGATGTGATTGTGTTTTTTCTTTTTCTGATCTTCCATTGTGCATGAAAGTATTTAGAGTTGGTGTCTCCACACATGATCCAACTTGCCCTTGATTTCTGTCTGAGCACTTGTTCTTCAGTAATACTCCATTTTTAAATCTCAGCAAGCAGCTCCTTTTCTTGATCAAATAAAATTTGGCAAAAAGATTGAGTGAGTATGGATGCTTGTACAACCTCTAGTCTTTGCCTAGCTTGATTCAGTCTTTGTGCATATGAAGCCATATAATAATTCAAGTCCTTTAGCTCATGCTTCAAATCTTCAGCTTACTGTATATGTTAACCATAACATCTGCACCTTGATTCTGATGCCACACCCCGTGTAATACTGCATGAAACTTAGGTTGTTCCATTACATTAACTAATAGTTTAAAAGGTTTGGGGTGTAGTCTCCTCTGTTGTCCACACCTCAGGAGTATAGGGAAGTGATCAGATACTCTTGTGTTTTGAAAGTCAACTTCCACATGCCCATATTGCTATAACCAATAGAGGTTGCCTAATCCCCAATCTATTTTACTATAGACTTTGCTGGTAACATGCTGCTTATTACACCGTGTGAAATGCCATCCTATTGATCTTAGTGGAGTCACTTGCAAGTTATTAAGTAATCCCTGGAAGCCTTGGATCTTTGTTATTGTAACTGGTTGCCCAATTCTATCCTCAGTAGAAAGAACAATATTGAAGTCCCCACTGAGAATCCATGGTGCACTTATAGGTGCCCCAACCTGCTGTAATTCATTCCACAATTCCTCCATGTGCTGTAGTACATTCTTTGCATATACCACAGTGAGTACTGTGCTAAAGTGGTATGTGACATCCTTTACTGAGCAATGTATATATTGTTCCTGTATTGCTAATATTTGAATAGCGATATGATCTCTCCATAAGAACCAAATTATGCCATTAACTGATGTGTTATACTTACAGCAATAGTTCCATTCTTTAGCTACTTTCTGAAGGATCTGTCCTGCTTTCTTTCTTTGACTCTGATTTCCACACAACCCATAATGTTTACCTTATGTCTTGCCAGAAAGAGCTTCAACTCTTTCTTTTTAGAGAGCTTGTTCAGCCCTCTAATATTCCAGGTGCATATAATCATGGAGGATCTGTCATCCTCAGTGCACATACAGGACCACCCCATATAGTGCTAGGCTCCTCAATTCTTAGGGATGCAAACCTATTAACAGTCTGCATTCTCATAGGATTAGGATCATGCATTCTGCTACTGTGATCTCCATGTTTAGTTGTTTCTCCAAATATGGCTTTGCCCTTTGTCCCTTTGCTGATCTGCACTATCCCACTATGTTTATCATGTGAGGCTCCTTCTGAAGGCAGGGAGACATATTATTGTGCCTCAACCTGGCTAGTCCCTAAATCAACTCCCAATTGTACTTCCTGCTCTATGTTTGGTATCTTTGCTTGCCAGACTGGACCATTAGCTTTAGGCTTCTTCCTATTCCTTCTCCTTCTCTTCGTTGCCACTTCCTGAAAGGCTTCTTCCTTATTATCTGATATCCTTCTACATGTAATTTAGTCATGCCCGAATTTTATGTGGTCTACAAAAAGCATTGGCTTTCAATCATATGTCACCTGCTGTTGAAATACACCAAAGGGTGTATCAATCTCAATACACTCTGGTAGGGACTGAGTCACATCTGCTTCAACCAATGCTCGAGCATATGAGATCTTCTTCAATTCTGCAGTAAACTTGTTTGTATACAATGGTTTGCCTACCCCACTAGCCAATTTGCTCAGTGCTTCAGGGGACCAATATCCCACTGGTAAGCCTGGGAATTTCACCCACAGAGGGATGGTACTTAGGCATTCCGGATCAAAATAGAAATCTATTTCTCAATTCTTCAATATGAAAGGCTTATTATGATATGTATATGGGCCAGTATGCATAACCAAATCTCTATCTTCTACTGTATGAAATTTAAAAATATAGTATCCTTTATCATGGTACAGTATCTTAGGTTTCGTAACAAAATTCCATACCGTAGCAACATAATTGTCCATTGATCGAGCAAACGGAGTATCACCAAGCACATATCCAATAAGGGTCGAGGTCCAGAATTCCTCCTGGTATTTGATATCTTCTGCAACAATTTTAACCACCAATTTACCATCCCTCATTGAAGAAGGAACGTATGTAAGAGGTTTCCCCGTTTGCGAGCCACGGTTATTCACCAAACCATCACTCTTCTCAATTGTGTCCTGATCACGCCCAACTATGCCTTATAAAAAGGACTAAGCGGTCGCTGCAAATATAATCCGGTTTACAAGTCCGGAGTCGAATCCCACAGAGAACTAAGGTTTAGCTACAGCTGTTCACTATCACCAAGAAGACAAGCTTGAATAATTCCTAACCTATAGATATTAAGATTCTTGTGTTTAACTACTTAACTAACAAATTAAAATAGTAAATTAACAACTAACGATACTGAGGGTTAGAGAAAAGATTAAGGAGGTCTAGAGTTATGATTTCCCCAATTGTCGGAATCCTTCCCGCTATGTCTTTTATAATTTTGCCTAAGTATTCTCTACCGATCATGAGCACTCTTATTACCGTAAATCTCTCCCGAGTAATTACGACAATTTACTAGACGCACTCTCCCGAGCTACGCTAGCGGGCTTTTAATACAGCTCACTTCAGATCGCACCCAAGGCTTCGTTATCCCTAATCCCACCTTTAAACCCTCGGTTATTGATCCCTCATATACTCTGGGAGTGGTGTTGTTCAACAATTACCTAAATATGCACTCTCTCCCGAGTTATGCATACTATATAGGCACAGCTAATTGAGAGCTCTTCAACCAACCAAAATATAAACGTAGTTGAACAAATAGAGAAAAGTTATGGCTCAATTATATAAAAACATAACAAGAATTTATCCTACAAAAGGTTCTATCAAAACTCTAGATAACAAATTAGCTATTCATAATAGTATGTAAAACTACAATACTAAAAGTCATAACCAACAATTAAAAATAGGAAGAGGAAGGAAAAAAACTCGTAGAAGAATTCCCCGCCTTGCTCCCAATGTGTTCTTGCCTCCAAGGGTGTTGTCTAACCCTAAAGTAGTGTCTCTCCGCCTCCTTAGGTCTAATTTGTGTCCAAAATATGTCCTCCCCTTGTTCTAGGCCGGCCTCCTTTGTTTTATATAGGGTTTAGGACTTAAAATCCCATGTTTTACACTTTAGCCCCTGAAATTTACGCTTCCTGCCCGCGGTTTTGCCGCGGTCGCGGTGGAACCGCGGCCAAACATGCCCTCTGATTCTTCATTGTCCGCGACCATCTTCTACCGCGGTTCTGCCGCGGTCGCGGCAAAACCGCGGTTTTTCACCCTGTTCCGTTTGGAATTTGGAAAAACGTAAAACATGAAAGTTGTAGCCCTTTGAGTTAGCTTTCCAACCATATATTGTGGAGCCCAAATGGAGTTCTGAGCAAAAAGTTATGTCTATTTTACTAGACAGTGCGCAATATGCCTCCTCAAGTCTTTGTTCGTACTTAATTATCAAATTTGACCCCCGAACACGATCCCGGCTTAATTCCTTGAGCTTTTACTCAGACTTCAAAGCTTCAAATCACTTAAATTCATTCCATAACATCTATATAGCTCGGAATCACACCTACAAGGCATAAAACACACAATTAGTGCAAAACACTAGCGATTAAAGCGCAAACTCAATTAAAGTGCAGTAAATTCGAGTGTAATAAGCGACTAAAATATGCAATTATAGCCTATCATCATGTCCCTTGCCTCCATAGGTGTTGGATGTGTAGCAGTACCAATTTCAGAGAATTGAAGTCTGCGAGGCGCATGAATTTCCTTCTTCACTTGCTCAATTTTACCTCCCCTAACACGAGATTCATGTTTGGTATCTTCAAGGTCCGCATCAGTTTCACTCCCCTCCTCAATTGATTGAAATTTCGAAGGTAGAAAGCTACCAAACGTTAGTGGAATCCTCTTCTATTGAATTTCACTTGCCAGTGTTACCATCATCTCCGTCAGTGCGACGGTCGCCCTGGTGGCGGTGTTGGGTCATTTCTTCGGTAGTCGGCGTATGTTAGCATACCTAGGTAAACATGTGCCGAGAGCAAAAGAAAAGCCTCCCTTGAAGTTGTTACTACCTCGTTTTAATATAATATAGATATAGATAGATATAAATCAACTTTTTTTATTTTACATAACATTTTTCGTATCATAATTTCCTTTTCTGGAATAAATCTTAATTCTGGAAATAGAAAATATTATACAAGCAACGTGATTAATTGCTTGAAATTTCATAGTACATAACCAAACGTAAAGCAAAGGAAATGACTTGAAGTTGACTTCACGACAGACCTCTTTTAAAAAAAGGTAATCTTATCACAGAATATCTTTCCTTGAATTGCTGTTGTAAAAACAAAAGTAATCTGCTCTTGGGAAACTTACAAATCAAAGAAAGTAATTATAAAACTCAACGCAACTGCAATTATAGTTACGAGTTACTCACATCAAAAGAGAAGTATATAAGAATTAGGGACAATGAAAAGTTAAAAAGTTTGACACATCTCAGTTTTGTAACTTTGACAAACATCATGAATCAATCAATTATGTTTGGATAACTCTGATTTCCATTTATAGATCATTCAAAAACATCACGTTATCTAGACTATTGCTCATTTAGCTATCCCATAAAGGATATATTTTGTTTTTATACAAAAAGGAATATGCTTTAATGGGGCGAACAATCTTGTAATGAATAACACGTTTCAGAATAAGTAAAAACAAACCTCGCCTATTCATTTCCCAACGTTAAGTTATACGTCCAAAAAAGATATTTTTGGAGTATTTACTTGGGGATTTTCTTGACCAATAGATTGTGAAAGGGAAATAAGGAATCCTACCTGTTCTTGAAAAAATCTAACAGTCAAAGAGGAGACAATTTCAGTATCCAATTTCAGAAACGCCCATCTACATTTCACACCGCTTAAATCATCCAACAATGTGCCAATATAATCGAAAGATACATTGATGGTGGTCGGCAGATTCGGTAAAATACAAGCCTTATTTTTGTGTCCATATGCTGGTCCAAAAACCACACATATATACCGTGTGCTAATAGTACTGTATACCTGCTATTTCGAGCCACTAACTTGGGAGTTAGGGACCAGTTTCTTTCTGGCTGCGAGCGGATGGAACTCAGAGGTATCGGGTTCAGTGGATTCTGATATTTTTGATGTGGAGCATAAATTTACGTACTAAAGTTACAATAAATGGTGGATATATATGAATATATGGCTTTAAAAACAGAGGCGGATCCACCCCTTTACAATGGGGTGGCATGGCACCCGCTAAGATGATAAATATTTTATATACCTACATTGAAATTTTCTTAAATTAGATTAAATATCTGATTTTACCACCCGCAGCCGTAAATTAGAGAAATGTACCATGGCTGGTATATCTTTTTGAAAGATTTTCTCGTGTGTAAATTTCAACTTGGGAATTATCTTGAACCTTATCCAACTTTTATTTTTCATGTGCTTTTTAATTATTTTTTTGTTCCAATCATTGTCCTTTTCGGCTACCTCCCAATTTTCTATTTATCGTCTTATTATTTTTTATATTTTTCTTTTCTTTGTTCTATTATTATTTATATGTGGTCTTTAACACGAACACTCATAAAAGGGACTCCAAAATTATAAAATTTTATAAAATAAACATTCCTGTTAATCTCAAATTTATGAGTATTCATTCATGTTAATCTCAAATTTATGAGTTTTCTTCTTTCATATCCGAAAAATTTGGGTCTTAATAGGAATTTTCGATTGAGATCAATTTTTTTCATCTTTTTTTATTAAATCATAGAAATTTGTGTTATTCTATGATTATTAAATATAATCTAAATCTCTTTACTATTAAATTATGACAAAAATTTGGTAAGCATTGCCTAAAGAAGATGGGATTTGTGATTTTTATTTTTGAGAACTTGTAGTTTATTTAATTCTATACTTGTGGAGTATGATTTATCTAATGAAGATATTTTTAAAAAATGTCTCATTTTGCTCGGTGTAATTCCTTATTGAAAATGTTATCTTACTTGTGTAAATTTATTTTTAATATATAAAAAAGATATAATTTTCTAGTGAAAATGTTGATTTTACCTGTGTTGGTATAATAAATGTATGATTCCTTATTTAAAATGCTAATTACGTCTATTTTTTAATATCTTAGATGTAATTTTTTTATTTGCAAATAAAAAATACTTATTAAGTTGTCCCGAATAAACATTCCTAACAAATTTCATATTAGTCATTACAAGGTATACAATAAAAGAATTATAACCCGTCACCTTTAAATTCTAGATCCGCCTCTGTTTAAAAATATTATGGTTAAAGCTAAAAAAACATAAAAGTTAGAACCCATAAATCTTAAATCTTGAATCAGGCTCAAAGCGTATCAGTGCTATCACCACATCATCACCTAGTTGCTTATTTCTTATTTCATGTTTTAAACATTTTAAACAATTTGCAAAATGGGGGGAAAAAAAGAATGTATACGGTCAAAATCAGGTACGCCTGACTTCCCAGGCTTGAGAGATCGCCTTGGGTCCAAGTTCGGGTAAGGTCGAGTTCGAGGTTGACACACTAGACTTGAGCTCGAGGACGGAATGCAATGCCCGAAGCAGAGGCGGCTCAATGCTATTGGAGGCCTAAAGCCAAGACATAATTAGAGGCCTTAAACTTGTTTAATAATTTTAAATATTTTTGTTAAAGTTTATTCCTTTTACTTTTTGAGCATCTTGACGATGTAACCAACCCCTTTAATCTTTGTTGAAACATTACTAACCTTTGATAGTAAGATTTTATTAAGTTTATTTTTGAATTTTTTTCACATGACCGTCAACATAACTCACTATATAGCACTTCCTCCCAAAGCAACAATTATGTGAAAATTTATATTTACAAAGATGATAAATAAATTAACTATAGCTTTTTACGATCTAATTAGCTTGAAGCGTGCCTATAGAGATCTTGAAAGAAAATATCTTAAAGTTAGAGTTGTAAATAAAATTTACTCAAGTTGGAGTAAGAAAAACTGGAAAGTAACTACATATTTAATTGCCTTTTACTTGCATTTGAATTTT